GACGTGAGTAGTATGTATGAGATGATGCCAATATTGGACAAGAGACCAGCATCGATCAGGTGAGCTGTATAATTAAGATGATGAAGGAATGGTGCCACTCACTGGTTTCTTGTACAAGGATGAGGCAAGAGAATGTTTTATATGAATACAAAAGAAGGATAGAATAAGGCAAGTCATATCAGGATGGTTGTAGAAATGGATACAGGTCAAAGCAAAGTGGCTAATCAATTACTTGCAAACGTTGCAGATAGATCATCTCTCTCGAGTGCAATAAACGATGATAGCCTGTGGCGTGACAATGGCTTTATCCATCCTGGCTCGATTGTTATTAGCACTGGTGACACTTCTGAAGCTGGCAGTTAACACAAAAAGCGGGTACATGGACCATTCAAGCGAGCAGCAATCATTGATATGAGCAGGTTGGTAAGGTACCATCCAAGGAGAATCGGAGCATCAAGGCTTGTTGCGTGTTGCCTTGGTATATTGATTGTGGGAGACAACATACAACAGCGAAAGGTGTTATGTATGAGTCAATGACAAACGAGGGAGAAAAACGCCAAGAGGAACGTGAGCAGGAGAACAAACAACAACAATCAATGGATGTTGCGGCCCCAAATGATGCATTACCAGAAGAAGAAGCAGTAGATCCAACGTCATCACAAGAACAGCACAGTGAATCCAACGTTATCGCATGAAGCAGCAGCAGTGACACCATCGTCCTCCGCCTTTGCTCCATTGTCTCAAACAGGGTTCACAACCTTGCCACTCTACTACAACACACCTTCTTACACGCTCCTCTGCCACAATCAAACGTAACAGCAGCTGCCACTCTATTATCTCAGCTCCTTGCAGCCTTTTATACGTGAACAGCAGATGGACATTGTATGGAAGCATCTTTATTAGGTGCAGCAACTTGCTTTAATACGCACGAATTCCAATAGACGATGCCATACCAGCTATCAAGTAGACCGCTATACAAGCAATCTTCACCTGGTTGAGCTGCGATAGGAAATGATCAAGGAAGAGATAGACCAACATCAGAATGGAAAAGGAAGCGTATTGGACTTGCAATGGTTATGGCGATGGATGCATGCAACCAAGTGCAGTGATTGGGAAAGACGGAATGTCCTTTCGTTTTTTGTCCTGTCACCAGCAGGAACGATGGATCACATCACGTGAATACGGCTGAGGATGATGATGGATGGGATGCAATTGGCCAAAGGTGCCATGGATGGATATTGGCATGTGAGTTAATGCACACACAAGCTCTTTTGCAATTATGGATGAAGGTGTGTATGGCGGCAGTAACCAAGAATACAATGGCACAAGGACACCCGTACACTCTATGTAATTCACCCGTATCTACTTATACGGCAATGTTATCTAGTAACACACTCGTCTTTTGCATTCACGGCTACAATCCAATGTACTTTCTACCTTGCACAACTTTTGCTATTGCACCATAATATTGCCATCAAGACCAATTAACTGATACCAATGTCGCTGAATGATCATTGATCCTTACACTATGCATTACGGAAATGTACATACATGGCGCTCTCAAGGTGACCAGTCGTACTGTATGTCAAAATTGTGACCTTTGGCGCCATCATCATGAGCACATCAACAGGTGAGCTATTTCAAATACGCGTTTTTTGATGCCTCATTATCTTGGATATGCTTACAAAGGATAGATTACGACACTACCAGCGTGTTGGGCTCATAGGGTTACACGACAGCAAGTATTTTTGGATGTAGGTGTGACGGATGAGATTGAGGACTGGTGACGAGTACGAGTAGGAATGATGACGGAGGACGACTACGACGATGGTGGTGGCAATGTACAGTACATAGCAAGATAGCTAGATGAAATAAAGCATTGTTTATTTATTACACGCTTGTTGGAGGTTGCTAGCTTGTGGATTACATACTATTGCTTCGAAGATGGAATAATAAAGGTGGTCCGGTTAAGAAGTACATGGCTTTTGTGATACAATAAGGAGGAGTGGGAAGTGGGATGAGCTTGAGAAGAGAAAAAGTGAAGAGATCCCTCCATTGAGTTTCAGGTTGAGTGACCCATTCAATATGTATATGTATCTTTTTACCTATACAAATTGGTTTATGCAGCTCCACCTTCTCCTACATGCAAATGTGATACATATCTTGACACACCTTCATTATTGGATGCTGTTTTACTTACGTACCTTCACAAAAGGCAATCATCATCATCATCCATTTGTGGAGCAACCTGTCAAGGACGTGTCTGTGTAACCACCACGTGCCGTTTCACTCAGCTCTTCATCTTTCCGTTAATGCAGCCGACACCATCCACTAGGAAAAAGCAACTCCATCACGCTTACAGCATAGGTAAAACATAAAGACGCCTGTATCTCCAAACAAAGAAACGTGTGGTTTTTATTAGAGCAATGTGCTCGGCTTGGCCAAGAGCACCTTGTGTGAAGTTTCGCGTTCAATGTCGCAAACAGCCCAAAAAATATTTTTTGGTCGTCGAAAAAAGTTTCAAGAGGTCGACCTCTGGATCCAGTTTGGCTGGTGGCGACATTGCGAAATCTGGTATTGGCAAGCTTGATCGTGAAATTTGCACCCAAGGTGCTGTTGGCCAAGCCGAGCACATTGCTCTATTCAAAACCCCACGTTTCATTGTAAAGTTTAGAGATACAGGTGTCTTTATGTTTTTACTATGTTGTAAGCGTGATGCTATATGATAAGTGGTCTTTGTTTAATGCAAAGTAGTATGACTAAATAGAGCAAAAGATGCAGAGGGCGTGTTTGTGTAACTTGAGTCATTCAGCACAGGCGATGCATGATTCTTGTACACTATTTAGGAATAGTTCAAAATGCCAGCTAATATCCTTAGTCCTCCCATTCACCTTTGTTACCCGATCCAATGCATACGAACGATTGTCCTGCTCCATCCCAGCATGCCCATCATTCAACTTTCTTGATCCGATGAGATTTGACTGAAAAACGCTCAAACACAGAAACATCATCCAATATCAGAAGAATCAACTTGGTAAGTTATTTGTAAACAGCCGGCTAATAGCCCATTCCTTCCATTCACCTTTGTTGTCCAATCCAATGCATACGAACGATTCTCCTGCTCCAGCCCAGCATGCCCATCCTTCAACTTTCTTGATTCGAGCTAACCTGGTAGTAAGGTAATGACTGTTGTTGGATCATCATTATCATGTAAAGTGTAAAATGGCACACACCCTTTTGCTATACGTGAGGATCATCATTTCTCTATTTACGTGTACCTATTGTCTATCGTGAGGGTGATGATGACGATGGGTGGATAGTGTGTGTATAGGGTAATTGAGTGGCCTCAGTGTAATAGCAGTAGGGGGATTTAAACTTGGGGGACAGCAGCTCCACGACTTGAGACAACGCTTCTCTTCTCTTCCTCCCTCCTATACTTCTACCCCATTCACAACATCCCATTCAAGATAATGTATTATAAAAGAGTGTTCTTGTTGATTGTGTAGTTCTGAACATGCATTGTCAGGGAGTGAGCCGTGTCCAAGTATTGAGGAATGAGCGTGGTTGGTGCTTGGCTATTGCCATGGCGATATTGTTGCTTCCTTTTGCTCGTTGCTATTCCCGCTCTACGCTTAGTGCCAGCAGGTACATTCAGAGTCCAATGTTGCACCCGAATTGGTTCCATTGACGCGTCAGCTTGTATAGAGAGCAAGTTTGGTTTCAAGACGTTGCTGGTTTGGCGTTTTGTTTCGGCTCAACTATACTACACCATGGTTTTTGGGTTTCCAGTAACCAACAACAACGGGTCTTTATGTATATGGAAAAGGCAAGTACCATGAAACAAACAATGAAAAGGGTGTTTATTGTGTGTGCTAATAATGAATTGAATAGGTTTCTTTGGTCAGGCAATGCAACTTGGGGCATCATCATCATCATCTCTTTGGGTTCAAGTCCCAGCCTGTATCAAGTGGCCGCTGCGTCGCTCTGCACTAGCCAAGTGTACTGGAAAAGCTTCTTGGAACGCGTCCAGGGCTCTATAGGCCTGCGTTTGAGTTGATGGGTCGATGACGATGGGTTTTTGGACGAGCATGGTCACCGTGTTGAGGTAAAAGAGGATTTGCAATGGCTTGTAGTCGCCCCGGCCGTGAACGTGTTGACATCAGTGCGAATCAACACGCTCTTCTCGTGACAGGCTCGTTCTTTCCCTTGAGGATTCCTTTTCTTCTCTTTGTTACTGGTGAACAAGGTAGTGTCTTTGGTCACATTCTTGACAGTCAACATGGCTGACCAAGTGATCATAATGTAGTTCTTAGGACATGAGGATCAGGGAGATGATGTTTGCTATTGATTGTACAAATCATCCAGGTAACTTTCATGGCTATGATGATGATGGTGGTGGGGATGTGATGGGAATGCTGACAGAATTCCTGCATACAGAAAAACGAGCAAGCTGTTTCGGATGCTATAAGGTATGTGCCTATGTCCTATGAGTATGAATGAGGGGCAATACAAGGTTGCTAACCCAATACAGTTCTTGTGATCCATCATCATTGTGGCATAGGAACGATCAGCAAGATTGAGCAATACCGAGAAAGCACCTTTCAATGCAAACATCAACAAGAAGAGATCCAGCATGATCGTTCACACCTTGTATTTCTCGAGGCTTTCAATGATCACATCAAGATAGGATGGATGGAAATGGGCTTTAGAATGGAGATCACTACTGGGAATGAGGAGGAGTCGTGGTGTAACACGCAAGCGGCGAAAAGGCAAGTTTGGGCAAAGTAATAAATAAGGGTGCTCTCTCTCACGTCTACTTTCCTTCAACTTCTTTAGCGGCATTTACTTCCACTGGATAATGTCACGCTCAACAGCTCCTTCGCTACTATTGGCTCTCAACCGTTGACATTGACACTTGTTTTTACGCGTTATGCAACGATTTCTTTTCAAGCTGGATGGCATCGAGCAACAGGTTCTTTTTCTTGGTATGACACTACAGCATGTTGACGATAGCATGGATCATATTCCTATCTCCCACAACAACTTCGGCCACGCAGTCACCAACGTCATCTCTACATACTCGACATTATCCAAACAGTGATCTACCCATTTATCAAGGTAAAAAGCGAATGGATGGCTCTACTTGGAAAGCGACATCTGTTAACGATGTATATTGTTTAGTGGAAATCGTTGTGGATGGGCCATCGCAGACCACCATTGATACCCAATACCAAGTATGCGCCAATACAAGTAATTATCGCAATGCAAGGTCGAAAACAAAGCATGGAATAGGAGACATATCAGCGGCGACTTACCGTTTGAGAGTTATGGATGCACATCGCCAAGGGTGAATGCTATGGTGGTTACTTTCCCGGTTGTCAGCAAGAAGAATGGATCATGCCACGTGTATGCGGCGAAAGGATTTACAACGACGGATGATATGCAAGATCGAGTCGAAGGCACTCAAGGATTGTTTTGTAACAACACACGCTACACGCCTACAACCTTGACCCACTATCTCGCTATCATGCAAGGCGAAGTTTGCACATAGTAGACGACACTCCATGCAACCCATTGCCAGCAAGGATCAAAGTCTCAAGTTATATGTTTGCCGTTTGGATGCTTCAATGTCTATTTTCTTGATGCTGTATTACAAGGTAAATGGTGAACGAGATGATATGTTACGCTAAAACGGATACTGATTGAAATCATCATCGTGTGTAGTGGAACCGCATGACACGCCGAGATGCATTGTGGGTGATGCTGCCTTACCAGAAGATGCTGGAACATGGAAGGCGGACCTCATACTTGATCACAAGGTCCTTGACATCGACATTGCATTCACGTACTACATCACTCAACGTTGCGCTTGGAGGATTGCCACACATGGTTGAAAACGGCGCGATCGGGGTAGCTTTGGCAAAGGAGTACATGAAGACCTGACCTGGCACTTGGATATGTTTTCGGAAACGTGACGACAGCGATGATGATTGATTATCATGGATACGGATCATTTCAAGAAAACAAAGATGAGGAGACCTGCTTGTGGATCGGGATAATGAAGAGGTTGATCATGAGCACCAGGAACCGTGTCGACTATGTTGGAATTTGGATACATGGCAGCAGCTTGATGATGGAGAGTACCAATGAGGCCAAAACAGTGCACAACAACGACAACAATGACCTCTCATTCTTATCACGTTCCAGTTTCATGTTATCAGCTATGGGTACAATGGATCTAAATCGTCATCAACCAGCACCCGATATCAATCCATCTCATCATCTAGCTCATCCACCGTTCTCACCACCACACGAAATCATCAGCCATCTTCATGCTCTTGCAGCTATGGATCGTTTGTGAACTACAACGTACGTAATGCCTTCAAGTGTTCAGCAACTTACAGCAATTCGATTTGACCATTTAATTATACAAAACCATGACCTATGATTGGTTATGCAACTGGATTTCGCTCGACTCGACATGGCATTCTCCACTGCTTCTTCCACACCGAATAAGACAATGGCAGCCCATACTTGGCATCACTGCGTCTCATCTATTACAACGATCCCTCAACCACCAACCAAGGAAATCAAACGGCCATGTTCTTGACCAAGAAGCTCCTTGTCAAAATTATTACCAGTTCCAAGAGTCGGTGAAGTATGCCATCTTTATGGGATGATATTGGGCCCATGTATTAACTGTTTAGTGTAGCAACTACATCTACTCCACAAGCATGGTATCTTTTGGTCACCTTCCCATTTCTTCAAGCTCCAACGTACACCCTTTGTATTACTCGAATTGACCCATGCCATTGTCACTAGCTGCATAATCAGATTTGTCCCTTTCATACAGCAACATCCAAAGTAACTGAAATAAATCGCATAAAGCAAAATCAATGAACAATCTCCTCTTCTCAAACAACAAAAACTGTTTTTTTGGCTCTGAAGACAAACCAAAACAGTATATTTAGAAGTGTCAAATTGGGAAATTGCGATTTTGCATTAAAAGTAGCTCCCTTCCTATGCGGCGTCGATTCTTTGCTCTGAGCCAGCTATTAATCAAAGCCTTCGTCGTGTTCGTTCTCTCTGTACTTTGAGTCATCCACGTCGCAAACGTCTTCAGCGTAGTTGTTCTGGTAGGCTAAAAAATATCCATATTTGTTTTTAGCATATGGCTTTCTATAGGCATGTTTCTTGCATACATTTATATACTTTGCAGTGACCAACTTTACTGCAGTTCTCCACGCCGGCCCGGAAACAGTCGTCTTCTAGATGTCCATAGTCGACCATATTAACCCATTGGAAAGCCCCGACATTGCTGATAACACCAGCAGCGAGGACCATGATGGCACTAAGAAAGGTAGACTTCATTTTGGATAAGACAATGAAATTTCGTAGTGCTCTACCCGATGTCATTTTATATTCCTGGGATCGGCCGCTGTTAGTCTCAACATGGAAACATTGCTCATGCATGTAACATCCTTCAGGGATAACGTACCACAGCCACAGCAAAATCGCATGTAACTCCCACTATACATTAACCACATACTCCTCCGATAGACACCTTCGTGAATATAGCCGTTACTTGCACACCTATGTACTTGATACCTGGGATCGGAAATCAGGTGTCGCATAAAGCAGTATTGTTGTAGAAACGCTGTGGGTCTTTTTAGCTGATGTAGGCGTTTTAACCCCTTATGCATAATCTGAAGTTGCTCCTGAGTGTTCAACGATTGATGCATATGATAAGGATCCATGTTGATGCGTTGCAACCTAAGAAATGTAGCTGAGTATACGCAGTAACATCATGCAGGGGAGGACGTACTCCCTGTGTCCATCTTCCACTAGATGCTATTACATTCAGGAGTGGCATGACGCCCCAAACTTTCAAGAAGGTAACATTTGCCTGGTTGTACATTTTTCGCTATTAGCGAAGAACAAATATGCTGCTGTCGCTGTATATCCACTGCCAGTCCATTGGTTCATCCTTGTCATTATTCCAATAACAGATGGTGCACGATAGGTGTGTAATAAAATCCATACAAGCATACTCGATGATGCTGGCCTTTGTATATCCACTTGCTCATGACCATCCAAGAATCCGTAGAGCTGCTGTCATTATCCAACATAAACAAAGGAGTCCAATAACGCATGTGCCTGGTAAAAGGCACAAGTGAAACGTATTCAATCAATCGACCAATAATCATTCCTGTGGTTCAAGGTGTAAATAGATGGCCATGCTACCATACAATAAAAGAGTGCAATCGAGAGCCACTACCATCATTGTAAAAATCACTCGACATGTTGTCTTTAAATAAGCAAGGATATCCTCTTCGTTTATTCATTTGGAAAATCGTCATCTCCATGATAAATTGACCCTCTTGTCGTCGTCCAATAACCGATTTATGCCGCCCATTCCTTTGAAATATGAGCGACCGATTCCCCTCATCATGATAGCGACTCATCTTGCTGTTTTGCGTCAAACAATGCCCTCGTCCAAGTCCTCTCGTTCCATCCCTTTGAAAAGAAGTGATCCACCCCATCATGATAAAACCACTCACCTTGTTGTCATGCCATCCCTCATGATCCCAAGTCCTTCACCTTGACAAACAACAGCGTCATTCCTGCCCATAGTCGTATAAGAAAGAATAGCGCCCTGTCCATCCACCATACCTCGCCTATCATGCCCACATCGTGTATACTTGTTCAGCCAGCAAACAAAGCACTCGTTTAGCGTACACTGCTTGTTGCTTGTATCATCCTTTGTCATGCCTTGCTCACCATTTCGAATGGCAGCCCGTCCACCTTGACATCTGTATCAGTAACCAATGTAGCTTCATGTCAAGAATAATGAAAGAAAACCTCTCCAACCTTGCTGCTGTGGCATACGTAAGTCGTCCTATACGTACATTGTCTTCATGTATTGTTCAATGGTAGCGTCAACTCCACGGTGTTGCATAAAAAGAAGCGACTAAAACGCGAGACCTCTTCCTCTTTTTATTGACAGCACGTGTAATCACATGTTCCCATGCCAACCATGCAACCATGCCAGCAAATGATATCCATGGTTACCCCCATCCACATATCTTAACGACCACTCACAACAACCACCATGGAAAGCAATTGAATATCATAGCAATCTGCCATGGTGATGGATCCAGCATGGGTAGCCATATTTACACCACTCAACAATAAACCTGTTTATCGTTCCAATGTAGCTGCAAAAGAATGACTATAACAGAGTACCATGGATCATCCCTGGGCTCTACATATGGACTCAATGATATCTCCAAAGCATGACGATGCCTTTTGATCCTTATTCCAATGATCGTTCTTGTTTGGTCTTTGATGAGGGTAATCTACAAAGTATGTCATTAGAAATGACAGTTGAAAACCACCTTGACCCACGACCACTTTACCTTGTCCACCGCATACGGTCTTCATATCAGGGTCACCACCCTTCTCAAAGTTGCAAGTCCTGGTCACCGATCCAAAAGACCAAAAAAGCCCTTCCTTGTAAATATTGCAAAACCGCTGATGTACTCATGATCCAATGTAATAAATACGTAGGTGACAAGGGTAGTTTCTATGCAGGCCATTTGTATCATTTTATGTAATCATTTCCATCTTTTATTTAATCACTCTTTTAGATTATACAATATCACGTAGCTGGCCAAAGCTTCTTCATGTGCATGAGGAGGAGAAAATGGCGCTGTCTGTTTTCTATGCTGGGTATATGTCAACCACACAGCCCTGTGCAACCTATCTTTTATGCATAATCCATAATGTTGGCGTACCTGCACTTTCTACGTCTTCGACCGACGACATACACGAAACGACGCAACATGCTCGGCTTGCTTCCATTCGACCAGCTTTTCGACATCATCTCTCGGTTGCGACGCAATGACGTGTTGGAATGCATGTGTGTTTCGCGACAATGGCACCAAGCAGTTCCTGATTATGCAAGCGAATGCTTCCGTCAAGTGAAACTCGATACAAAAAGAGACGATCTAGATTACAGCAGATTACTGGAACGAGTCGGTTGCTATGTCAACGTGGTTGTCTTCGAGAACTTCCCTGCTTGGAAAGGGAAAGCCTCCAAGGTTGCATCGCTTCTCCCAATCTTATGCCCCAACATCCACACACTACGTAAGTAAATATGAGGAGGTGGTTCCTTGCATGTATGGGAATTGATCTTTTACTGCTCAGACCTTTATCACAGCTTCATTGATAAACGTTTTGGGACGTATTTGGGGAAGTATCTGGCACAATTACCTCGGTTCATCCATTTGGCAATCACGCGTCCTGCTGGTGCACCATCCCCATCATCAAAATTCATTCGTGCTATTCTCGCTTATTCACCACGCTTGATATCGATCAGCCTTACGCGGGATGCGCGTCCTGGAGCATTGCCACGTGATCTATCTTTGTTACATGCTCGGCTATCATTCTCTATCAGCCTTCGGCATTTGGATATGGCTGATTTCTTCACTCACATTCATTCTCTCGAGCCGGTGCTGAGGAATTGCCCGAACCTAAGAAGCTTGGTAGTGTATATGGGAGCCGAAGATCTACAACAGGAAATGGCAATTTTGGCACGATGGTGTCCAAGGATACGGCATCTTTATTTTCCATCGAAGTATAACAAAGGGCCCATACACATTACACCAGCCTACTATGCCGAAGATGACGATGACGATGACGATGACGATGACAGTGCAACAACAGCCTCCAAAGCTATCTCGTTGCGAAGTTTATGGATTCAATGTAAAATGGCACAGCACTTTTTGGACCAAAAACGAATCAAGTATCTACATTTGGATTACTATTCTCTATTTGGATACATTCCTTCGACACCACCTTCTTCTGTTCATACCCTTTTCAGACAAAATAGCAGCACACTTGAATCGGTGGATTTGCAATTCGATACTGAGACCTTGCATACGTTCATCAAATCATTTGTATCCATGGGCAACCTGAAATTAGTTCGGCTTACTTTCAATTGTCTTGGTGCTGGATTCAGGGATTATCAAGCAGCCATTGCTATGTTGGAGGAATTGGGCGGAGTGGCATCATCACATGCAGGAATCAAGTCCGTTTCTCTCGCAGCTACTTTTACCAGCCTGAATTCAGCGCTCATGTCCGTTATGGCACAAATACCACATCTCAGGCAGATTGAGGTTTATACACCAATGATAGATTCATCCCTTTTTGCGTTGCTTTGCAAACATGCATCGGATTTGGAAACAATGAAATTATGGGGGTGTCCTTTGAACCTGACCGAAGACATGTTTTTCTTATTGGCGAGGAAACGGTTGCACCACCTTCATTTCAGGTCATCATCCCTCCCACCGAGTACCATGAGTGGAAAGGGGTTAAGATATTTGATTGATCAGTGTGAAGGGTCTTTGGATACAATGGCTATCATGGGCACTATACAACCGGATGATGGCGGTGCCTGTATTGATTATGCACGTCGAAAATTGGGATCACGCTTCAAACGTTCAAGAGATAGAAGACTCAGGGCATTCATATAGTAGTATATCCCGCCGTATAGTAATAAAATGACTATCTTAAATCAGCCCCAAAAATAGGGATGCGAGTGTTATTATCGAATACAACCCTTTGTTCAAGATCACAATGTGGATCGATCAGACCTTTTTTCTTTCTTCCTTCTTTCTTTTAGGACGACATTGGCTAGTGGATATACTACTACAATCCTGCATAAACCTTTCCATAATACGATGCATATGCTCAGGAAGAAGAGGCGTCGTATATAGAATTGAGAAATGATTGGCCAACGTAATGTTTGTGAGAGGGCGAGTTGTATGCATAGCGAGTCAAAGCATGGAGTTTCTAGCACCACCCTTCAAACCACAATTGCGCAATGCCAGATTTGAGATTTGAAATGTGATGTCAAAGGTAATCTGATCATTCTCGCTGCTTATCGAACACGCATACCCTTAAGAGTAGGTTGACAACATGGTAAGTTACCTTTGTAATAATGGGGATGTGCACTACACGTACAAGTGATTGATTTTCTTGATAGATTTTATCACCTGCCCTATTTTTGGCCGATGTACGTATGCATAGACAACATTACATGTGGGCTCTTCAGCATGCTCCCCCATCACTTTATCAGCTCATGCATCAATTTATCAATGTATTATCCCCAACAGGCAATACCCACGCCCACAATGTACAATAAAAGGATGTTGTCGCCGCCCATCATACTCCCATACGTTCCTTTCCTTCGTCATACTTCTTTTTGATTGCTTACAAGATTAAATCACCAAGGTTTGTGTGTGTATCACATCTTGCAGCCTGTGAATAAGCGCTGATCCCTGTGGTCATTCATAAAGTTTCTTTGTTCCCTGCTTTCATTTTGTCGTTGTCTTCATTGTGATATTGGATCCTTACAAAAAGGTAAAGCCTACGCATGTTGTTGGATGAGTCGCCGTCTCATACATATACCTCGTTGCTTTTGATATAGCTATCTCCCTTGATGGCATCTCCAAAAGTTGGTTTCGATGCCATGGTCTACGTCGGGTTCTGGAATTGACATTTTGCAAGAGCAAAGTCCGTAAATGTGTCCCTTTTTTCTCTGCAACATCGGTTGTCGATTCCTGCTGCTCGACACAATGGCCAAAGCGGAGGGACTTTCAAATGTGGAATGGTGTCTCCACCATCGCTGTAATTGCCTAGCAACAACATCTCAGTTAGGATGATCCCAAGTCCATGGGAACCTCAAGCTGACTTTTCAAAAATTCATGCCCATTGGACTCCGTGTGCTACACCACCACCATGGCAATATCATGTACTCGGATTATCCTCCTCTGTTGCGACACCTCTTGACATTGAACAATTTTGTGGACCATTCGGGGCTCACCACAAATTCCTCTTCTCACAAACTACCACAATATCTTGCACAGCAACTAGTTCGCAGCTAACGTATAAGGGGGGAACAGCAGCGTCTCGTAAAAGCCGTTCCACATATGGAAAAACTCAAGTCATTCTCAAGAGTATTGGAATGAACGCACCCTTACACTTAAGAGATAATCCGTGGAAAGCACCTTGCGCAAGGAAAAGCTTGAAACAGTAAAGCTTCTCGGTGAGGTGTCGGGTATGGTATTGTTGTAAGAGACGTGTGAAGCAAATGATACTAATAAGGGTGTTTTACATATTCTGAAGAGAAGGAAACAAAGTTTGCATCGTAACCAAGGATATGACCATACGCGAGCTGAATCTCTATGATGGACACGACACTCCTCAATGCAGCCAAGCCATGAAGGATAAGCAGCACAACAAAAATGCGAGGGTCAACGCTTGTATCCTTTCCCAAATCCTGCAACTACCATTTAATTGTAAAGATCTCAAAATTTGCATGGGAGGTGAGTAACAGCTATTGAGGGTCGAAACAATTGGGTTACTGAATGTGGCGCTAGGCTTCACCGGTGAGCTTCAAGCAGTGAGAAAGGTGGATTACTACTACTACGTAGTGGGATCGCTTGGAAATGTGTATCTGCCAACAACTTTGGATGACCTTGAGGATTTCCGTGATAGACTGAAGCGCCTTTTCTACTTTAAGGTTGGTGAGATCATGCCACTTTCAACTACATATACTCATCCTTTCTGATAGCATCACCATCAACACTTGCGAAAGGCCATTAGAACACCACTTGCAAGAATGCGACGTTTACGTAAATCAGGCAAGTTGATCGATGTCAAAACAGTGGGGATATCTTCACGACACCTTAGCTGTGGAACAAGTACAGTATTTGATGACAAACATATCATTGAATGTTCCTTGGTATGTATTACAATCGTGAAATCACCATCAATATTAGTATGTAACCATATTTTGACAGTGGCGAGGTTACGTCAAATGCAATCTCAACAAGGAAAAACCACGACCAAACCGCTCAAGGTGTGGAGATGGTAGAACCCAAGAAGTTAGGAAGTGGAGGATGATTGCTGATATCGAATGTAATGGGGTCATCATTGCTACTTATCGTAAACGAATACGATTCTTAAACAGGATTTTTTACTACACTATCCATGGCCCACCTATAATACATATTCATATAAAGTTATGTAAACCATTGAGATTACTCAACCAAAGTCATTGATGCGAGGCAAATAAAATGTTGTATTGGAAATCGATGGTAATGTCATAAAACAGGGGGAGTGAATCACGCTGCTAAAGGTAAAACAGAAGACAGCCCCTCCAGGCAGCCAGTCAGTGGGGCATATGATCACTATCACGCAAGGCTTCCACTCTGGCAGGATGCTTTCACCAAGGTAATAGCCAATCCGCCTTCTGCCATAAACAATACCTCTTGTGTAGTTCCTTGCTGCTTGCTCATCCATCCTATAACTTGTACATGATTAGCGACCATGATTGAATTTCCGTATACTCTCATAATACTTCCCGAAAAACAGGTGTGTTAAAAGCCAATGATGCCAATGAGCTGCTCCAGTAAATCTGCCAGCGTTTACCTTTTAAGATCACCACAGCAATCAAGGGAGTCCCTGGCTACGCAACTTTAGAAAGCCGTAATAAACCCGCTTGCTCATCAGCATCCGCAGAAGAAACAATGTACACCTAGCGATGCTTGAAACAGTCATAATATTAGCCATAATAGTGAAACCAATTGTCGCAGTATACATACATTATTGATCGATACCCGAAATGGTTACAGGCCTGATTATTTGGCATGGGAGAAGTGTAGGTGCATGTCTGTCATGCCTTGAAGAGCTGTACATGGAATAATTGTGCGCTGATGGTGTGATCCCGCTGTAAGAATATGCCGCTGCAAGCCATTGGTTCATGCAAATAAAAACCGGTCCGTGAAAAAGGTCCAGTAGCAGTGGGTTGCCATCGTATGTTCCCTTGGTCATTCATCCCAGTAGCTCTTTTCCTCCATGTTCACCTTGTCATTGCTGTAAGAGCGTCGTAGACAATAATCCATGTAAATCATTCTATTTATGGTACAAAGGGATAATGTTAGCAAGTGGTTGCAGCCCCAATCATCCACCCTGTCCACCTTACCAAGATCTTGCTACTATGAAACGCATGAAATCAATGTCGAGAATAAAGCGCTTGATATCCATAAGTGCATGTCATGGTAATGCTGCTGCTCTAGCCATCCATATCCACGTGGCCAACCATGTTGCTCAAGTATAAAAGTGATATTGCAATGACGCATAGAGAAAGACACGCCGACACAAGGTGCTTGTTGCCTGGTATTGGCGCATGAAGTATCCTCAATTCGAATCACTTGATCTCCACCTTGGCAAGGTACCTTCCATTAGAAGCACTGTTGCGTACATAGAGTCGCGAAATAAAGATGCATCGACAAAAGCGTGCTCGATCTTCTGTACAGGTAATGTTGCTGCCACCCCATGGATTCCCAACAAAGAGCATACTCCAATGATCCGTGTAATATAGATGCGTCGAGAGGAAAAAGCTGGTCGATATCCCGTATCAGTGAAATCCAATGGTAACTTGTTGCTGCCGTATTCGTCGTTGCTGTAAGAGGGCCACGTGTGGAAAAAGATGGGTTGCCAAAAGGGATCGAGTTCACAACATTAGCAAATGGTTGCAGTTCGAGTTAGCTATCCTATACGTACAAGTCCTTGCTGCATGTTCAATACATGGTGTCGTTGTAAAAAGCCATTCAAGCTGTACAATGCAAAAGTGTCGTAACGTAGCAACGTGGGTCAAGAAAGAGCTGTGCTGGCATGTCGCGTACTCGTGTGTTGCTTTGACCAAGATGGTGCCAATGTCGCTCCATTAGGCGTACGAAGAAGTCGATCTCAAGAAGTAGACTGTTCATGTTTTAAAGGCGGCAAGAAGTGCGTTGGCTGCGGAAAGAGGAGAGCAACAAATGACGATCGGGGAATTCTGTGTTCACGAGATTCATGCACTCTCCCATTGGGTGCCACTAAGTGCTCGGACACAACACTAGTTCAATCCACAATGCCAAGATGCCGTATGCCACAGTTGTGAATTCCATCATCTACACTGCAATTTTTTGATAATACAATAAATGACGCCTATATCATTGTAAAAACCTAATGTATGAGGGCCTCTTATTATCCTTTAGTCCTCTCGATTTCTTTGCATCTACGTAGCAAGTACCGCTTTTGATCACTAAAAACGATGACATTGATAAAAGCAAAAAGAAGTATACAAGGTGAAGATACACCTGATGAAAGGCTTTAATTTACGTTACATATGTAAAACAAAAAGTGGGGGATGGTCTAGGAATAGAAGAGGTAAAATGCGATGATGGTGGTGGTGGTGATGGGTGATGAAATTGAGGAGAGGAGGGATTATAAGGGTAACAAAGGGGGAGGTGGGGTGGATTAACCAGTAAAGATTCGGAAAATGAGATAAAGACAAGAGCCAATAAAGCGAATGGCTGAAAGACCAGCAACAGACCAAAGAATGAAACCTAAATATACAGTGCTGCGCTCCTCATAGGTACCAAACCACTCAAGGATTTGACCATTGGTAATGACAGCAACCAAGGCCATGTTGGTAATAACCCACGACAATACCAGTCGAGTACGGAAAGCCTTGTAGTAATCTTCTTGCTTGGTCTTTGCGTCACGTTTCTCATGCACAACTTCCACTTGGCGTTTGAGCTCCATACATGCCTCCTCGTATTGTGCGTTAAGGTCCGTTTGCTCTGTTGGCACATCCACTTCAACATGACTGTCACCGTCTTTGCCTTTTTTGGCCTTGACAACACCGAGTTCAGTGGACACACTATTGTCACCCTTGGTACCCCATGATACGTCGTGCGTGTTACAAAAGGCGTAGATGTTGAGCACGTTGATGTAGGAGGGCGACATGAAGATGTACTGGATGAAGGATGTAAACATGTGCCAGGGATCAAGGAACAAGAAGCTGGCCACGAAATAGATCACGTAGGTCGATACAATGGCAACAATGACATCACGGAAAGCACTTTGACTGATTAATGCCATAAACATGTCGTCGGATGATCTTGCTTCGTCCACCGCACTATTCACACCAACAGCCGTAATCCAAATAGTACAAAACATGATGTACACCATGAGCAGTGCAAAGAATACGATACTCAGGATATAAGCCCATTTGAAACCTTGCGGCCGGTTACCCATTGCAATGATAAACTGGACGACCAACAATATGATATAGACGTAGTTGAAGCTGATGTGGAGATATCGGGCAATGTCGGCGTTGAATGGCTTGGGTTCCAAAAAGTCGGATTGCATGGAGGTTGTCATGATGTAAAAAGTAAGGTAAAAGTTGCCCTATTATGCACATCATTAATACCCAATCCTTGAATAGTATCCTTAAAAGTACTTACAATGGCAAACCAAGAGAAGATAAGTTGATACAATTGATAGATGCCTTGAATCATGAAAAAGAGCTTGCGTAAGAAAAAGTGGTTGGATCGCCAAAGCTTGCCAGTGTGAACAAGAGCATAGACACCAGCAAAGAAAGAGCCGTTGAGCCATCGACGACGTTGTGAAATGAATTCGGGTACGTTGTCAGGGACATCCGTTTCACCATACGAGCTTGAAACGTAATGCAACGTCCATTTGGCGTGTTTCTTGGCAACCAACTCGTAACATAGGATACGATCTTCGGCCAAATACATGTTGGCTGTAAAGATGTCCGCATCACTACCATGCATCTTTTCACCCAAAAAGTACTTTTCCAGTGGACCTTGACCATTGACATCATTTTGCAATGCTTCGTAACGGTATGCTGAGAATGCACCAGGCAACACAGAGATGTAGCCAAATACGGATTCAAGCGGCTTATCGAGAATGTTGGACATTTTGTATTCAAAGTTTTGTGATGCCACCAATGGATTGATGAGAGCCACACCCATCTTGCCAGTCATTGCCCGAATTTCACCACATGCTCCCGCCACGTTCTTGTTGATATCAAAGCACTTCCAAAGATGATAAATGGATGTATGACCAGGGCGTGTACCAACATCGATAAGAACACAAACATGAGGCTTGATGACTGGACCAAAAGCTTGAAAGAACCAACGATGCGAGTTGATTTTCTTTTGATTCTTCTCCTTGAGACAAAACAGCATTTGTGTGGGGACGATGCCACTTTCTGAGCTGCGAAAGTTCATATCGGGATCCACTGAAAGTTGTGTTGTGTGCTACACGAGAAGGAAAAAAACTCAGTCAGGTACATTGCTTGGTTGTTGTTATCGCATTCTCTTGCTTACCTCGAAAATGTGGGCGGTTACTGGTTTGCCTTCGACAATATTTTTAGCAACACCTTCTTGATAACAGCCAAGGGTTGCAAGCACTGACAAGGTGCGTGGATGAATCTTGGTACGACCATCGGATACGACACATACAACGATCTTTTGCCAGCCATCATTACCCCATGTCTTTGAACGAGTGCGAGAGCACAAGTGAGCAATGTTCTTCATGACACCATGCAAGGTGCGGCAGAACAAAACCTCGTCTTCCTATACCCGAAAAGGTTAATGCCACATGCGAGCAAAAAAGGGGTCTCCGTCTTACGTTGTACATGGTCAACACAATAAAGAGCTCAGTTTCGCGACCCATCATTTGCTGTCGTAATTGATATTTTTCATTTTGGAATTCGGCTGGATCACACGTAGCAGCAGTATAACGCATGTGTGTAAATTCATGACCCTCCTTGATAGGCAATCGTTCGAGGTATTTGTTGGGAACGGGGTTATCCAATACAAGGTTACCACCCGTGAGCTTGATCTTTCGTACTATAAAATAAGCATCAGCACACATGCAAAAAGTGCCTTACGTATTCAATCCAAAAATACTTGCCAGTCTTATAACGACGAGGTTGACGACGTGGTGCTTCACCATAACGTGGACCAGGAGATGCAGGCTCAACGAATTGTAAACCACCACCACCACCTTGGACGCGTGAAAAGGGTGAACGAGGGCCATTTGGATTGGGAGTAGCAGGGCTTCCAAGTAATGGTTGTTCCATTGCTTCTATTTGTTGATGCTGCTCATCATGGAAAGAGAGTGGATCATGGCCTCGCTCCATGGGTGGTTGATGTGAGAAGGTGGTATCTTGCAATGGGTATTGCTCCATGTAAGGTGGTGCAGGCGATCCACCACCGCCACCAGGACTACTATTGCCGTATGGATTGTGGTACATCTACAATGGGCAGCAAACTACTAGTGAGCAATGGGCAGCAATGCTCATACACACACTCGACACATACATGATCCAAGCTGCAAAAGGAAAAGTAAGCAGTGTTGACAAATGGCTCTTGTCATTTTTTATATCATTGACATGGTTACACCGGGCGGAACCCAAGAATGGAAGCGCTGCAACATGTGTGTGGATTCTTTACACACCCCCTTCTTTTCCTTGGAAAAACTTTACCTCTGAGCAGTGCATCAAGCTGCATCCTCAACTTGGATTATCATACTCAGCAAGTGGCCAAGACGCAGGGATCAAATAAAATGTGTTGTTGTTGGTGGACATTTTTAACTACGTGTCGCATTGCTAAATTGCCTTTGGATTTATAAATGATCTTGTACCCCATTAACCAAAAGCCCGCTCTTTCTGACCTGTAATTTGTTCACTGGTGGGTGGGGTGCGTGCTTGTTGTTTGTTGCTCGGCTTAGAGCTGTTGTTTGCTTTCGGTGTTGGGATGTTATGCATTGCACCTGAAAAGTCGTAGCCACATTTCTTCTCACACATAGCACATGATGACTTACCATTAGGAATCGGCTTGATCAATGTGCGAAATCAAGATACGCTATGTATAAAAAAAGGGGGGGGGAGTGTGGCATTGGATGATACCTCTTGATCTTATTGCTAAATTGGCCACTTGACATACCGGGATGATGGTTACGGTCTCAGTTTCATCTCTACTGCAGGAAAACATCTTGCCAACCTCCATATTTAGACCTTGTGAGAAAACATACACACCCACACACACATACACATACAACACATGAGAGGGTTGCTATCCACATGATCACTTTTAAATCGCATTTTTTTTGTATTCAATGACATGAATGGATATCATCAGCAAAGCTTTTTTATTACAAGACATCTGTGCACAATGAAATAGGAGGTGACACAAAGTATAATGGAGGTATCACTGATGGTGTGGCTGGGTTGGTTTAGGTTGCTTCCCTCCTCCTCCCCTTCCGAGCTACTAAGCCTACATGCATCGTTTAAGCCGAACCCCAATGTGTACAAATGGCACTCAAAAGGTAATCGTCGAGCTTCGATGGCGGAATCAATGGACAAGATGTTGACTTTGGCGTGACTAGGGAACCAAGCCGAGTCCGTTATGCAGTTTCCTTGGTGGCAGTCGCCGTCCTTGACCATTTATGGAATGGTGTGCACTGATGCAATGTGTCAACGTGGATAGGATGGGACATTGACAAGAGACATGTAGCAAGGTATGTGTGTATGTGTGTATGTGGTATGCTAGAAGGATGATGATAGTAACATGGATGAATAAAAGTCACGGGATCTGTCAAATTCCTTTGTCTCCCTCTCTTTCCCTCCTCGAATCTTTTCATGTCATGCATGATGGATCAACTACAGCAACAAAAACTGGCAGCATCATCCAAGACATTATACCATGAACTGAAAGCAAGAGAGTATGGATTACGACGACATGATCGTGATGGTGGCGTTCAAAGGCTTTATGAATTCGTGACACCCAACAAGACCTACCATGATGTCTCCATTGATGGCGTTTGTTTCCATATTCGACGATTCACAGATGATGGCAAAGTATGTACATGGCATGATCGCTCTCTTTATATCTAATTGGGTTGACAAATGATAATCTTAGTATCTTGTATGCTTTCCAGAAACGCTTGATGGCATCGCTGTCTATTGGTTCGACTTGTACCCCTCCTCAATCCCTGCAATAAGCAACGGTGACAACATCTTCAATCATTACTTTACACTCAAATACCATCGCACCTATCAGATGGAGTACGACCATTATCTTTGCGACGATTTCTTATTGATCATCAATGAAAACAAGCATGTAAGGTCATTCTTCTCAATCCACCTTCATCATTTTTACTTACTTTCTCTTTCTTCAGCTTGTTTTCGTTTCCTCTAGCCTTACTACTATCACCAATGGGACGCCGCAATTTCATGAGGCACATTATATGCAAAGTCTGCTTGCCGTATTCAATTACACCTTTTACGTTGCTGACATCGAGACTGGAGAGGTAATAATTGATGGATTCATGCGTATTGGAAACCTCATTGCTGATCCCTCTTTTATAGTTGATATCATCCTATTCGTTTCCACAAGAATGCATCCCTCTCGGAGACCAGAATGGTGCTAGTTTACATGATGACCTCCTTGCAGTGATCCTTGTGCTATCCCAAGACATTTGTATCTTGCGTGTTTGTCCAGTATGTATCCTACGAATATCATGTGACATGTCTTCACACACCCTTCTCAATAATAGCAAGGTACATTGACGCCCATACAACGAATCTCTCAGCAACTCGAACCTATTATGGATGATCCAATAACAACAATGCGATACCACCCTACTTTATACGATCGCTGGATGACTGCATCCGAGGTGGAATCAATGCAACATAGCGGCATTCAACAAGGTGATTATCAACAAAGTGCGAGCCATGTTGATTACTTGGAACAGGTAGCGTATGAGCCATTGGATTCCCAAGACATCTTGAAAAGCTCAACTATTTTATAGCATCATGTGCTACCCTATTCTGGATTTATGAATGCTCTTTTACGCTGGCTCCTTATTCAAGCAAAGGAAGGAGGGTAAGTGTGTTTATACAACTTGCAAATGTCATCATTAGGTGCTAACTTTTACAAAGACCACTCGGCCTACCCTACTTTTACAGCCGCTTCAAATGGTACGAGTCGCTTCAGCTTTGGCGAATGCAATTCATGGACGATAGCACGCTGCTCATCAAGCTCGTTTCGCACAAATCATTGACCTTGTTGTACGAGGTGGGTTAGAAATGGTGACATGTGATTGCATGGATACGTCCTCTTGACCATGGTGATTTATTAGCAAGAGACAACGTGGAAGGACACCTACACCTTATTTGTCATCTTTGACTTTACCGAATCTCGTATCCTCGATGCATTTGACAACAGCAGTACCAAGGTAGCGCGCACCATCTTCAGCAACGAATCACGTATGGAACATGTAGCAAGGATGAGCGACATCTTTAGCAGCACCATTATGGTGGACGAGACTACGGCGTATGAACGACTAAAGCGTGCAATTTCGTCATGGCAGGAAAAGGAGGAGTAAGTTTTACGTGTATTTGTTATACATGTTCGATCCATACTAATCCAATCACATAAAGCACTGGAGCCGCCATGATGAAACTTTCATTATTATTGCCCACACCTCCAATGTCACAGCCAGAATGCCCATACTTCGATCGAGGCGTATTTAGTTATTCATCAGGTGCCTCTGGACATGGATGGTAAGTTGTTGGGATGGACATGGTATCAATGAAGGAGCATATATAAATGTATGGTTTAATAGGTGGGAACCTCAAGTGCGCAAGATCCGATTCTTTTCGAGACGATCTGGCAAGCTCGCCTTTGAGATTGGAGCGAAAGAGTACAAAGAAGAGGAGAACGATACCATTGAAGAAGAAGAGGATGAAAGGTAAGAGCGTGGTAATGTTATGGGACGTATACAAGGAGTGATAGTAGTAATCCATATATCCAAAGTACAATGATGTTGGTGATCCCTCATCCACAGCTCCCATTCATGATCACGAGGCACAGAACCCTGTCATTGCTCGACTTGGTTACAAATTTCCACGTTTACAATCCCGCCTAATGCAGCTGCTGCTCTTCTCTTTCTTCTACAAACCCACTGCATAATACACACACACCCTCCCTCCCTCACAATGTCACATTCATTTCTATTTCATGTATCCAAAACTATTCCTCACTCGCGAATAAACCCTTCATTGTTCTCAGCTTGCAATATTGTGGATCGTCATTCAACCATTCCACGGAGGAAATTCAGTACAGCATTGAGACGCGTTGCTCCGATTACGTTATGGGGTGGTGAATCCCTTGTACGCACTCTACGATCGAGTCCTTCACGCTCTGTACTTGTCAAGATACGACCTGTTCATGTGAATGGTGATCATGGTGACATGGTATCATCTGAACGAGCCTCCATGTTATTACGAGAACAAGACCCAAGCGATATCCCACATGATGATGGTGTTCATGGAAATGGAGGCAATCAACAAAATGGTGGTGGCGATCATGGTGAAAATGGTGAAGGTGGTGGCGGTGGCGGCGATGGCATGGAACGACCACCTGGATTTCAATCGATCGACAATCAGCTACAAAAGCCAACAGTCCCCGAGCATTATCCACAGGTGCTTGCATTGCCCATTGCACGACGTCCTCTCTTCCCAGGCTTCTACAAGGCTGTTGTTGTCAAGGATGCACATGTCACATCAGCTATCAAGGATTTATTGAAACGTGGTCAACCCTATGTTGGTGCTTTTTTACTCAAGGATGAGAATGAGGATGTCGATGTCATTTCAAATATCAACCAGATCTATGATGTCGGTGTCTTTGCTCAGATAACAAGCATATTCCCAGCTGGCAGTAGTGGTCGTACTGGTGCCGAGGATGATTCAGGATTAACAGCTGTACTTTATCCACATCGGCGTATCAAGGCAACGGATATTATTGCACCATCATCATCAACAACAAAGGACCATGATGTCACTCCAACCGAGTCAAAGAATGAACCCACAACACATGAAAAGTCAATGGAACATGAAGGCAAGTGACAATGAATGTACTCGTGTATTATGTATCATACAAGGTACTAACATGCTATATATAGAACAAGAGCATCAACACGACAAAACACCATATGCTCCTTCACTCTTGGTCAAAGATCATCAAGTATCCATTGCCAATGTCGTCAACCTATCAGAGCCGTCATTCTCAAAAAAGGATCCCACCATACGTGCTGTCACCTCGGAGATCGTATCCGTATTCAAGGACATCGCCTCGTTGAATCCACTCTTCAGGGACCAGATTGCTAGTTTCTCCATGTCACAGTCGGCAGGAAGCGTATTTGAGGATCCTGGGAAACTCGCTGATTTTGCTGCTGCCGTTTCAGCCGCTGAACCTGAGGAATTGCAACAAGTCTTGGAGACATTGCCAGTAGAGGAACGGCTTCAAAAGGCATTGTTGGTATTGAAAAAGGAGCTGATGAATGCACAATTGCAAAGCAAGATATCCAAGGAGGTTGAAAGCAAGATTGCAAAGCGACAACGCGAGTATTATTTGATGGAGCAGCTCAAAGGGATCAAAAAGGAGCTTGGATTGGAGAGTGATGGCAAGGATAAGCTGGTACAAGGATTCCGCGAGCGCGCACAAAAATTGTCAATGCCTGATCAGGTGGAAAAAGTGGTCAATGAGGTATATATACAATACATTGTTTATACGACGACCCTCTCACAATGCATGTTTTATAGGAAATTGTCAAGCTTGAGCATCTTGAACCAGCAGCATCTGAATTCAATGTCACCCGCAACTACCTCGATTGGCTGACTCAAATACCTTGGGGTCAACGTTCCAAAGAGAATTACAACATCTATCATGCCAAAAAGGTGCTTGATGAAGATCATTATGGATTGAAGGACGTCAAGGATCGTATTCTCGAATTTATTGCAGTGGGCAAATTACGTGGTTCAGTGGAAGGCAAGATTTTATGTTTGGTTGGACCTCCTGGTGTTGGCAAGACATCGATTGGCAAGAGCATTGCGAGAGCACTTGACAGGGAGTTTTATCGTTTCTCAGTGGGTGGATTGGCCGATGTTGCAGAGATCAAAGGTCATCGTCGTACCTATGTTGGTGCTATGCCTGGCAAAGTGATTCAAGCTCTGAAAAAGGTGCAAACGGAGAATCCACTTATTCTCATTGATGAGATTGATAAAGTGGGTCGTGGCAACCAAGGTGATCCTTCCTCGGCTTTATTGGAGTTATTGGATCCTGAGCAAAACAACAGCTTCCTTGACCATTACTTGGACGTGCCTGTCGACTTGTCAAAGGTGTTATTCATGTGCACTGCCAATGTTCTTGATACAATCCCAGCTCCTTTGCTCGATCGTATGGAGGTTATTCAGCTATCAGGGTACATTGCAGAAGAAAAGGAGGCTATTGCAGAACGCTATCTTGCACCCGCAGCCAAGATAGCAGCTGGTCTCGAGAATGTCAACGTGGACCTTACCAAAGAAGCCATTGATCAATTGATTAAGCACTATTGCCGTGAAAGTGGTGTACGCAACCTGAAAAAGCAGATCGACAAGGTGTATCGAAAGGCAGCTTACAACATTGTTGACCAGCTGGGTGAGGGCAAGTTTGAACAAGAGCAAGGTGATTCTCCCAAAGTCTTGTCTGGTGATAAGCGATCCAATGATCCAATAGTGGCAGAAAAGGAATCACCAGAAAAGGAACCAGGACAAGAAAAGACACATGAAGAAAGGAAGCCATTGCACGTGCCTAGCGACATCAAGCTTGATATCACACCCAAGAATCTCAAGGATTATGTTGGCCCTCCCGTTTTCCAGACTGATCGATTGTATGAGACAACTCCACCAGGCGTGGTAATGGGCCTTGCATGGACAAGCATGGGTAAAGTATTATCATCACGCATCATTTGCTGCTTGTATTAATACATCACCTTTAGGAGGATCCGCACTTTACGTCGAATCTGTTCTAGAATCAACATTGACGCCCAGGTCGTTGCCGCATTTATCAAAGACGGGTCAACTAGGAGATGTCATGAAGGAGTCTGGAAGCATCGCATACACATTTTCCAAATCATTTGTTGCTCATCGATATCCCAAAAACCGCTTCTTTGACAAGGCCAAGGTTCATCTTCATTGTCCTGCTGGTGCTGTTCCTAAAGATGGTAAGGGAGAGAATGGTGTACTCGTCCATGTACAAAGGATATTCATATTTGATATGATTTAGGACCTTCGGCGGGTATTACAATGGCAACTTCACTCTTATCTCTTGCTCTGGATCAACCCATTTCTCCGGACATTGCCATGACAGGAGAGCTCACAGTAACTGGAAAGGTGTTGCAAATTGGAGGGCTCAAGGAAAAGACGATCGCTGCCAAACGATCCAACGTCAAGACGATCTTGTTCCCAAAGGATAACCAGGCTGATTGGGATGAGTTACCGGATTATGTCAAGGAAGGGATTTCGGGTATTCCTGTGGATACTTTTGAAGACGTGTACAAGATATGCTTTGGAAATGTGGACAAGGAAAAAGCTGAGCACGTATGGGATTCAGTATTGCCAGAAGAAGAAATGCGTAAACAGGATCAACTTTTAGAAGAGAAGGTAGAAGAGCACGATCATTGATCCTTAGAATAAAGATTGTAACGCTTGATAAACGGCTTACGTTCCTCGCTTTACTCGTAAACTCTTGAATGGATTAACACTGTAGCATCAATGGAGTATGTAATAAACTTCCGCATTTATGCAATCACATTACAACCTCGTAGCACGTATCTTCACAGAAACATGGGATCTTTTGCCATTCATATTATAAGAGGCCGTTCATGACTTCTCCTGCATTTGAATCTTCCCATTCAAAGTTTTCATAATCAATCGTGTGGTTTTTATTTGAGCAAAGTTGATCACCATTCCCAAGAGCACCATGTGTGAAAGTTTGAGGTTCGAGAGGGATGATCTCAATATCAAGTGCAAGATTTGCCCGACCTATTTAATTTCCACTTCCACCCCCTCTTCCTCCCATTCTCAACTGTTGCCCCATTCAAGTATACAACTACCACCTACAAACGATTGTCCTGCTTCAATCCACGATGCCAATCCTACGAATGCCTTGATGCGATTGTCTTTCACTGATTGGCACGTCCATGGCATATGTACTCTACTACAACTTCCCCTTTCTTGTCACTTCATATTCTCTTGTACACTCCTCAACCATGACCAAACGTTACAGCAGTCGTAATTAGCAAGGTCTTCACTCCATTGTCTCAAACAGCGTTCACAGCCTTGTCACTCTATACTACAGCACACGCTCTTGCACACTTTGCCCCAACCAACGTACCAGCAGCTGCTTTTAGCAAGGTCTTTACTCGGTTCTCTCAAGTTACCTGCAGCAACTTGCTTTAGTATCTACACGGATGCCAATGCATGATGCCATACCAGCTATCACGCACACTGCAATACAACAAGCTTCACCTCCATGAGCCCCATTGGAAAATGACCAAGGAAGAGATAGACAACAGCAGGATGGAAAAGGAAGCGATCACAAGGCTCTTTTCAACCAACATTTGGATTTGCAATGGTTATGGATGGATGCAATCAAGCGCAATGATGAGAAAGAAATCCTGGGATGTTGCTTTGGTTATTTGGCTTGTCGTCAGCAGGAACGGTGGATCATACCACGTGGATACAGCTGAGGATGATGATGGATTGGATGGATGGCAAGAGGGCTTTTATCTTTACGACAGCCATGGATGATTGGAATACTCAAATCACATCACTTGCGACTCTTTCCAAACATGGATGGGGGTTGTTTATGGCGGCAGCGACCAAGGAATACAATGACACCATTATCCTATTACCCACTATTTGATTCACCACTTTGTATCTTATTCAATTTACGATGCTGTCCCTTCATCATATTTACTTGATAAACATCCACACTACCATGTGCTATTCGTCGACTTCTCATTAAATGAAGATGGATTCAAAGATTATTTGAAGGCTGAGGGTGTGGTACCATCACCTTGTATGTGCGAGACGTGGATCACTTGGATTGAAAGGAAGAATAGAAACAAAAATGTGGGAAAGCGAGATTGGGCCATTTACGCCATCGTATGTATCGAGATGCCTTTGCCTTCTTGTGGCATTATACATTCGTTAAAGATAATGACTACGAGATCCACACCGATGACGATAACGACAACGGCACAAACAAGCATGGTTTTTGATATTGGTGACGAGGAGATTGATGACTGTTGGCTAGTGCGAGTACGAGTAGGAATGATAACGAAGGACGAAGACGACGATAGTGTGGCAAAGTAGCTAGAAAGCTAGATGAAACAAAGCATTGTTTACTTATTACGCATTTGGACTTTGCTAGCTTGTGGATTACATGATGTTGTTTCAAAGATAGGAACAATAAAGGTGATTCGGTTATCGATCATGCAAGAAGTATATGTCTTCTGGAATGAGGTTTTGTGGGATGACTTTGAGAGAAAAAGTGAAGTGATCCCTTCATTGAGTTAGAATGAGTGAACCATCAATGACCCGTGCGCATTGAATTGATTGGATTTACGTATTCAAATTGGTTTATGCAGCTCCTCTTTCTCCTACATCCAAAAATGATATGGAGCCCTTATTTCAATACACATACCTCGACACACCTTCATTATTTGATTCTGTTTACTTATGTACCTTCACAAAAGGCAATCATCATCATCATCATCCATTTGTGTAGCAACCTGTCAAGGACGTGTCTGTGTAACCACCACGTGCCGTTTCGCTCAGCTCTTCATCTTTCCGTTAATGCAGCCGACACCATCCACTAGGAAAAAGCAACTCCATCACGCTTACAGCATAGGTAAAACATAAAGACGCCTGTATCTCCAAACTTTACAATGAAATGTGTGGTTTTTATTAGAGCAATGTGCTCGGCTTGGCCAACAGCACCTTGTGTGAAAGTTTCACGTTCAATGCCGCAACTAGCCCAAAAAATATTTTTTGATCGTCGTCGTCGAAGAGGCTGAGCCCCAGATCCAGTTTGGCTGGTAGCGACTGCGCGAAATCTGGGATTGGCAAGCTTGATCGTGAAACTGGCACCCAAGGTGCAGTTGGCCAAGCCGAGCACATTGCGCTAATAAAAACCCCACATTTGATTGTAAAGTTCGGAGATACAGGCATCTTTATGTTTGTAAGCGTGATGCTATATGAGAAGTGGTCTTTGTTCATTGCCAAGTAGCTAGACCTTGGAGAGCCAAAGATGCAGAAGGACCTCTTTGGGTAACTCAGCTAAAAAGTCAGGACTTCAGGGACAATGCATGAAAGGTACGCAACCCTCACTTTATGTCATACATTGGCATCTAATAGTCACTTTTGTGCATTCCCAACTTTTGTGCATTCTATAGTAGGTGGACGATTCTCCTGCTCTAGACATTCATTTCCATGATTAAAGTAGGTTGATCCGAGTTGATTTGGTTGAGTTACACTCACACAAGATTACATCGGTTGAGCTACATCGAGCGTGCTTTATGTGCAGAGTGATGTAATCTCTCTTTGACCGCAGCTCAGTCAAATCAGCTCGGATCAACCTACTTTAATCATGGAAAT